GTGGACGGCGAATGATGCAGAGGCGATAATACGACTTACTGAAGCAGGGTTTGGGCCTCAAAGCTTCTATCCGCTTCGTAAGCGACTGGGGAAATGTATTAGAGACCTGCTCACTCGATATGTGGACGAGTTACACATAGAGGTCCCTCTTTCGACTTACGCCTTCTGCATCGCAGATCCTTATGGGATTCTTAAAAAAGACGAGGTGCACTTTGGATTCTCCACCAATTGGCGCGATGGCGAAGGTCAATTTGAAGATACTTTACTAAACGGCATCGAAGTCCTTGTCGGCCGACTTCCAGCCCACCGTCCCTCTGACATTCAGCGCCGGAAGGCTGTGTGGAAGCCAGAACTTCGCCACTTCAAGGATGTCATTGTGTTTCCCAGTGTGGGCAATGTACCGCTAGCGCATATGCTATCAGGCGGCGACTACGATGGCGATACGCCCTGGATCTGCTGGGATCAGAACATCGTGCGCAACTTTTATAACTCGGACCTCCCAGAAGTCGAATATCCTCCAGAGCACTTTGGTCTCACGAAACATTCCGTGCCTAGGAGGAATATTCAATCCATGGACGAGTTCCTCCAAAGCGCGTTCACGTTCAATCTAACTCTATCGAATTTAGGGCGCTGCACTGTAGAGCATGAAAAGATCGCTTATGACGAATCGATCAATTCGCGCAACGCCACGGAGCTTGCTTGTCTCCTAAGTCATCTGGTGGACGGCCGCAAGGGAGGTGTGCATCTGTCCGAGCAAGCCTGGCGGCAATATCGGAAGAGGATCAGTCCTTGGACTCGTGATCTGCCCGCCTACAAGGGTCCTGAACGGAGATACAAGAAGACCAATATTATCGACTTTCTTCGCTTTGAGGTGGCTCGCAAAGAGCGCGACAAGGTTCTGGCACAATTGGAGAAGGCATTCCCCGAGAAGGAGTCTTTCAAGGACCCGGATGCAGACCTGTTGAGAGTATGGTCTTATGCCAAACAGCAAGCCGCACAGGATATGGGGCTAAAAACAGCACTGCAAGGTGTGGCCCAGAAGCTCAAGGCATCGTACGGGCAGTGGAACGAGCACGTGCAGAGGAGCCAAGAGTCCTTCTCCGTCCGTGCTCTAGAGGCTGCTGAAGGAGCTCAAGCCATTGAGCCTCCGCCAGGAGATCATCCTTTGATTCGGGTATGGGAGCACTGTCCGGGCGAATGGCTTCGGTTTTTAGCTTCCAGCACGTATAAGCGGTGGCCCCATTCCGGCTTCGTCATGCACGCCTTTGGTGAGGTTCTCTGTCAGATGAAGGCAAGCACCCTCCCGGCGCGGACCGTGACGAATGAGATCCTTGCCTGTTATCGTGTCAACCAGAAGGTGATCGCGCAGCTGACGTCTCGGGACCCGATGGATGAAGAGGACACCGGGCCGGGCGAGGACGAGTACGAAGGGCACGAAGCCATCGAGGCGATGCACTTCGGGCTGCCGTCGACAGCAGCGGGCGGATACTACGATCCGGACGATGGAATGTCGGTGGAATGAGCGAGGTTTCAGCTTCGGATAGCATGATTAATTGGCTGGAATTCAATTCATGCCTCTGTGGGGTACTGTACATTCTTGGTTATTGTGCTGCATGCATGTGCCTCCCTTGATTGAAATTTTGGATTCTTGGATAACTTAGAGTTCTCTAATTATCCCCAAGAATTGGATATAGGATAGGGCATTTGGGCATTGGATCAACTAGTTTGAAGTTTGAGTAGCAACAACGATCTACGAGACTTCTTGTCTGCCTTGGGCTGACCAGTTGGCCATGGGGTGGTTTGGTTGGCTGAGTTGTAATTACCTGACTAGGTAAACTAAGAATCATGAATCATGTGGAAGTAAGTGGACTTGAATCAGACAGGCAGGCGGTGGGACGGTGCATTACTGGGAGGCGGATGAAATCACATGTCAAGTCGTACAATTTGGCTCAATCTGACTGAAAACGGCAGCTTCCACGAGCTGCAGCTGCTTTTGCTCATTGACTCTCGACTAATTATCGGCTGTTCCTCCCGGGCGAAACAACGACCAGGATTGACCTGAGACTTCTCGCCTGGCATAGTTGACTACCTGACTGACTGACTTGTGACTCGGGTCAGCATGTGAAGGGGTCCGTGGAGAGACCCAGTAACATCATCACCAATCCAGCAGGTCAATATGACCGAAACTCTTGTTTGCATGTGCCTGAGGCAAATGGGATACGGTATCTAGTACTCGACAACTTAACATCCCGCCATAATGCACGGTAGGGTCATTTTGATGTCGTAGTGCCGTGTAGAGTGGTTTAACAATATAAGAGCCAGAGTAAGAATAAGTAGACCAGGTTAAGAGGGAGAGAGAGTGTGTGTATGAGTGACTGCCGAACCCACGCCCAGTCAGTCTCGGCTCTTCTTTGGCCCGCCGCGCCTACGTTTTTCTCTTGCTTTGCACGTGAAAGTCCCTCGACTCTTGCAGCAGTTCATCCATCCTTCCATCCTTCCATCAACCAAGCAGGTAATTAATCAATCAATCAATCAATCAACCAACTGCTCACTCTGACGCTGATGCTCAATCAAGCTTCGCTCGGGATCTCCAACCTCTCTCAACTGCCTTTCTCATTATCCGCCCCTCTCCACTTCCTCACCTCTCCCCCTCTCTCGCCCCTCCCCTCTCTCCGAATAATCAGATAGTCTCAAACAAACGCGCCTAAGCCTAACCGATTCTCCGGCTCTTACTTTCCACGCCATCTCGACTCATTTACCCGTTCTGGTTGTCGGAGGACAGCCATGGACCACCGTCCACCCGACGGCATCTCTGGTCCTGGTCCGAAGGCGTCCATTTCTGCTGTTCGAGACGCCACGACGCCCACCACCACGAAGTCAGCCCATCCTTCTCCTTTATTAGTCTCTGCCACCTCGACTGCCTCTTACACGGCGCCTACTCCCGCCCCTTATCCTTCTTTTCATCACCATGTCCCTCCTCCGTCGTCTATGATGGATGTCGATCACACTACCGCGGCCGAGGATCGCTCGCGTCGAGCCACCAGTGTCCTGTCCATGGATGATATCGAAGCCGCCCAAGCCTTGGAGGGCTTGCGTACCGGTATACACCCCACTCCCCTTCTTCTTCTTCTTCTTCTTCTTCTTCTTCTTCTTCTCCTTCTTCTCAATTATAAGGACATACCATTCTCCCGTGTCTAGTGCTGTGCTTTTCTCGCACCACCGGTCCCTACTTCTATGCTATGCTATACTGTGGAATAAGTTTTGATAATGGGTGTGTATATTGGCAATTTAGAATACGGTCAATCGCCCCGAATCTCGCAAGCATCCGAACCAAAAGCCCAGCCGGAACCCCTCCTCTCCCTCCTGACGTCCACTCACCCCCTCATCTCCTCGGCCATCAACGGGTCTGTTTCGGCCTATGCGAACTCCAAGTCATACTCGCCCCGCTTCAAGTCCGGGGCTGAGTTCATCGAGCGGAATATCGGGTCGCCGGTCGCCAAGTCCGTCGGGACGGTTGGTCGAAAGACCGGGGTAGAGAGCGGACTGCGGTGGGCGTTGCAGCGTCGGGCGTCGTCGTCGGCCAACCCCGGGCGGTCGAAACGCCGCAAAGTGAACGGCCGCGAAGAAGTGCCACAGCAATCGGCGGACGCGGACGTGGACGTCGAAAAAGGCACCGTGGATGGTAGCATGGAAGGTGGTATGGAGGGTCCTCCGCCGTACGATGACCAGAAATCCCCCAGCTATGATGAGATTGGCCGGGACAGCCCCTCGAGACAGAATCCGACTTGGCAGAGCCGGTTGATGATCTCGACGTCTGGATTGGGGGTGGCGATGAGTGAGGAGTCGCTGCGTAGCCTGCAGTATTGTTTGACGTGGCTGCGGTGGGCGAACGGTCGGTTGGGCAAGGCTATCCTGGCGCTGCAGGGCGCGCTGAAGGAGTGGGACAACTCGGGCCAGTCCGCCCAGGGTGAGCAGGGCGGGTCTTCCCAGGCAAATCTCCTGACACAGCGGATACAGGCTGTCAGGGAAGATGTTCTGTCCACCTTGAAGAGAGTCGTGGATATCGTCTCCAAGTACGCTGGCGGAGCGTTGCCGGAGAATGCCCGCAACCTTGTCCGGCGTCATCTCACCTCCCTCCCCCATCGGTTCCAGATCGCTTCGACTTCCAACCCACCGCCCGATTCAGCGGCGGCTGCATCCGACACGACGGTCAGCGCTCACCGGATCTTGGTCCTCGCTCAGGAAGGGCTTGACATGATGGCACAGGTTAGTGGCGTTGTCAATGACACTCTTGTCAGTGCAGAGCACTGGTGCCAAAGACTGGGACGAAAGCGCCCCGAGAGTAAGAATACCGCGGAGGTCAAGCAGCAGCCGGAGGAACAGAAGGAGACCTATCCGGCTGATATCAAGGGACCTATTCATGAGTCTTCACCTCACGATGTGCCTATGTCAGGCATGGAAAAGGTTTGAAAGGTTCACCTATTGATGCAGGTCGATTTCGGGCTGTACCCAGTGGAAACCTGGACGACCCTGCAATTGACAGTGCTATATGAGGCAGTATGCCTGCAGATTCAAATTGACGCCTTGAAACAGTCATTGTCCGCTGACGAGCGGACCATCACCCTCCTTGTTTGCATGTTTCTTTTGTCATGGTCGACCTTCTTGCATGTGTCGGCTGTCATTGTCGCTGCAACTGACCTTCCTTACATGAGAGCGATTTCCTTTCCGGAATGAATGAAGTATGGCGTTTCCCCCTCGATGATTTGCCTTGCTCATTGCACCTGCATTATTGCGCTGTTCGCAACCAGAGACCGACCTACTTACATTCGTTTGGGTTGTTGTCGGTCTGTCGGAATTTCGCCTTCGCTCACTATTCGTGTTCTTGTTTTGACCAAGGAAGAGGTTTGTGTGCGTGGCTAGCGATGCTCGATAATCCTCAATTCCGTTGTATGAAAGCAGAAAAAGTTTTCCCTTTCTCTTCCCTTTGAGACTGTGACACTCACCCATCGAGATCATGTGATGAGCTCTCCAAACGACCTCCCGTCCATCTCGATCTCCCGTATGAGGTTCCGATCCCCGCCGGCCTGCGAACAGTACAGCCTCACCTTTACACTGCTCGTTGCTTTGTGTTGATGTGCCTGCGCCAGAGCGGCCAGTCGCTGCCTTCTCCGTTCCTCCATGATGAAAGCCCACCTGATGCGGACGTCCTCGACACGTCTCTGCCGACTCAGCCCCCGTCTTCTCCATAGCGCCACCTGCGACGCCATGAGCTGGTTTGCATCGTCGGGCCAGCCGCCCAGTTTCTGGGTCCGAGGCAAGGCCGCCATCGGGCTCGGAGCTGGGTAGTAAGACTGGTAGGGGTTGGAGGAATAATATCCTCCCCCCGCCGTCCCCCCGCCGCCCTTTTCCCTGATGATCCCATAGCGCCAGTCCATCATGCCAGACTCGAGCTCCTCCAAGTCTACCAGACCCGAATCCACCGCATGCAACCGCCCCTTCCACCCCTTCAACTCATAGACATCCTTCCCATCCCGACAGATACCCAGTATCCCCCGCCGCAGCATGTAGTGCACATGGATATGGTAGTCCGCGCGGTACTTCGCGAACGCGACATCCTCGTTGTCGCTTCCGTCGTCGGAGGCGGTATCCTCCCCCTCGAGGAGATACCGTGCCACCAGCGCGTCGTACCGATGCCCCTGTGCGGAACTCGAGGCGGGGGGGGTGGACGGCGGGGTGAGCTCCGCGTAGCTGATGTACCGATGCTGCTGCTCCGCCCGAATTTCCGGGGTCAGGCAGCGGGCATGCCGACCCGGATGCCCGGCCTCCTCGGCTTCCAGATCCATCTCCTCGTCGTCCTCGGAAGCAATGGCGGGCGGCATCTCGTGCGGCGCAAGATCGGGATCCGCTTGCGATGGCTCGAACGGCACGGTGCGGGCGGGGTCGTACCGGCCGGAGGCTGTGTCAGCGCGGAAGGTGGATTTGGGGATGCGGAGGATGGTGATGCAGCCGGTGCAGGTTAGGGCTTCGTGGAGCGCGGTGGTCTGGGTGGTGTTTAGCGGAAGAATTGGTGGGAGGGTCGGGGGAAGGCTGTTAGGGGGGGGGGGGGGGTTACCAGTTCTTCGTCTATTGTTGGTGATGGTGTTGATGTGGGGTTTGTTGCTGAGGTTGTGGGAATAGCCGTCGCGCCGGACATGGTTGTTGCCGCCGGTGGAGGCGATGGTGATGGGGTCGGCGGGAGCATCTTTGGTGGGTGTGGGTGTGGTTGTCGTTGTCGTTGTTTAAACCATTCAAGGGCATATGCTATATCATAAGCATCGCTTGAAGTATCGTCGAAACAATCACCGCGCTCCCCGAATCCAATCCTTTGAACTGCCGATGGTGGTGTATATGTATTCGCATATAAGTTGTAGAGAATGCTTGCCCTAGGTAGTGTAGTGTAGTGTGGTGTGGTGTGGTTAGTGTATGGAAAACCGAGTTGGAGTCCGAGTCGGAGTTCTTTCTTGTCTTTTCTCCTTCAAGCCAACTTCTCAGATCCTGAGTATTTTTTAAAGGCTGGCAGGCTGACTCCGAGTTGACTGTCCTTTTTTTTCTCTTCCCGTGGTTCGTGGTGTTTGGTTAGTGTTGGTGTTGGTGTTGGTGTACTGAACAATAAAGGGGGGGGGGGGGTTCTTTGTTGAGGGCGCGTTTTATTTGGGGGGTGGTTGATTGTTCTGGGTTGTTTCGTTGCAGTGTTTGAATGTTTAGGGATGGGTGGGTGGGTTTCTTTGTGCTTGTGGATTGGGATGTGCTGTGAATGTGAATATGAATAGATAGTGAGTTTATTCTTAAACTGGTGTTTGTGTAGTATAGTGTATAGTTTGTAACTATAGTCGGCTAACAAAGAAACGAAAGACAAGACATTAACATGAATGGAACTTGAAAATCGGAAAGCTGGAAAGGAGCAAGCTATAAGCTATTATTATCTTTTGACTACTCACAGTCTACTATGCTCAGCATCATAGCCATAGCCAAGTTCAGTGGTATTACACTGCTACTGTCGGTGTCAGTTGAATCAAAAGTCATGTCATCCTCCATTCTCAGCTGCGAGGATATCGTCATTGGGGGGGTTCCTTGATTGTTAGGGAGAAGGTGCTGTCGGCTGGATTCGGGGGGGAGAAGTCACGCTGGGGGAGGGGGAGTGCAATAGGGGGCATGTGATCTCATTGATGGGGATGTGACGGGGTCACTGGGTTGAGGAATGTTGATTACTTTATCTGGTGGTCTGGTGGTTTGCTAGGGGTTAGTTAGCTGGCGGTTGTGGGTGGGTGAGATGAGCTAGGCTGAGCTGAGCTGAGTGGTAGCTGGGTTTGGGTGTCTTTGGGGGTCTTAGATTTGAGAGTGTTTTGCTGTAGGGCTTGATACTGTAGATGGGGTTTCTTGGGGAAAGATAAGATCTTGATCGATGATCTGGACAGGTTGGTGAATTGCACGTGCAAGGGAGCGGTGGCTGACTATTGAGGTAGAACATGGGGTTTATGGACAGCACTGTACTTAGTATATTGTATATCCTTGATAATATATATCATACTTGCTGAAATGAGAACCATGGTGTGTATGTTGTACAGTCCAGCTTATAGAGGAGAAGTAAACGTATTCTGGTGGACTACAGTATATAGCCGGCTGGGGAGCTACTTCCAGGGCCCAGTGTATTTATATTTTATATTTGGAGCCCGGTGCCTCCGACCAATTCGCCTCTTGCAGTAGTATCCCCTCCTCTGTGATCCACAGATTCCTAAGGCTCTTAATTTGAATGACCCTGTAGTGGATGTCCAGCTTCTAACTCACCATAGACAATTGAGGCTAGAGCTAGATCAAAACACCCTCTATCCCACATAACACCTAGGTGCTCCACTACCAAAACAGCGCGCAAAGCCATTGTTCTCTTTCGGCCCTATTGATCCCCTTGGTCAAGGCCCTCGCATTCAGCTTCCACCTGGTGTTTCCACAAGATACGTGAGAGTAGTGTAGAACCGCAGTCCCCGATGATATATCCCTCCTCTGCAAAGCAACTATGTCACCATCCACACCTACCATATCCCCTCAAACAACTTCACAAACCACTACGATGGAAACGCCCCCAGCATCATCACCCACCTCCTCCTTCCCCCTCCTCCCGACCATCAGCCTCATCCTCTCCTGCCTCTTCTGCCTCTACCGCCTCCAAGGCCCCATCCGCACCTGCTACCGTCGTATCCACGCCCGACACAGCGGACGCAATGAATACGCTCGTCTCGCCACAGTGGAAAATGGGTATGTCTCCTGCCCTGCAGCCCTCTCAGGAGTCCGAGCCCGATTCCAGAGTCTCGTTACAAGATCCCTCCCCGCCTCATCGGAGTCAATTGTGGTACTTGGGCTGTACAAGAACTAACACCCTCTCCAGCCCATCATCACCACCACGATCACCCAACCGACCTCTCCCCGAACACCCCACGCCTGGCAGAACAGATGATCTCCCCCCCACCCCGCTGAGCAAATACTTCGATCCGCAGACCGCCCTCCTCTACGCCGATGTCTTCGAGCGGCGGACGAGTCCGCCTATCTTGCGGGACCTGGAGGTGGAAGTGGAGGGGAAGGTGGAGGGGGAGGTGGGATTAGGGCGGCGGCAGCAGCAGCAGCAGCAGCAGCAGCGGGGCGATAGCGATAGTAATGACGACGCCGGGGTTGGGGTTGGGGTTGGGGTTCTTGCGGAATGGTTTGAGCGGTTGGTGGAGGGCGTGGTGCGGTATTATGAGGGGTTGGTTTGGGGGAAGAAACTAGATAGAGATGTGGTTGCGGGGATGGACGGTGCGGCACAGTATGTAAGTAGAGTTGACGTGAAGGTGGAATCGAGGCAGGGAGGCCCGCCAGAAGAATAAAAAAAAGCGGTGTGAACGCGGTGAATCGGATCTGATGAGTCGCGTTTTGGAGGTCAGGAGTAAAACGGGGTTGTGCGGCCTGGAAACTTTCTTCCCATGCGGGATGCAAGCCACGGATGCATGGGTTCGTGGCGGGATCAAGTGATGAGTACTCCGTGGTGGCCTGAGGGGTCGAGGGTCGTTTTGTGGCTTTTGAGCGGTGAGATTCTTACGATACCTTGGAGATGAGATTCCACTCGATATGGGATGGTTGATTTGTCGGTTGTGGATTGTCTAAGGACTCTTTGCGAGGGTGTTCTCATACTCGAAGCATATGCATTGCAATGTAAAAAGGTATATGCGAGTGAAACGCCTACGGAGCACAGTACCCCCCGTCCACCACGAGATCAGCCCCCGTCGTGTAGCTGGACGCATCCGAGGCCAAATACAGATAGGCGCCCTTCAACTCCTCTGGCAGACCCTCCCGGCCCATGGGGATCTTGTCCCGCCAGATCTTCTTGGTATCGTCCGCGACGAAGTTGGACAGCTCCGTCGCGATGTAGCCGGGGGAAACGCTGTTAGCCCGAGCGAACCTGACCCATTCCACAGCTAAAGACTTGCCTGTAGGCTGGTCAGTATCTACTTGCCGAAAGATATGCGGAAGAGCACCTACAGAGATGAATGACCCCCGCTTTGGCAGCGTTGTACGCCGCCTGCATCTGCGGGATGTTGACAATATGTCCGCTCATCGAGGCGGTGGCCACAAAGCTCCCATACGAGAAATTCTCCAGCGGGTTGCCGAACAGATCCGTGCCCTGTTCCTTCTGTCGGCGCCAGTGGCTGGCGGCTGCTCGGGCACAGTAGAAGGTGCCGTTCAGGTCGGCGCCCACCACGTGCTCGTAGTGCTCCAATGGAGCATCGACCATCGGGCCCTTCACCCAGGCCACCCCGGCGTTGGCGATGAAGACGTCCAGTCGGCCGTTGAAGTCCTTCACAACCTGGTCGACCGCTTCTTGTACGGCTTGGGGGTTGTTGATTTCAACCTTGTACGCCTTGGCTGGTGGAATGTCAGCTTGTTACGTATGGACTGACTGTCTTGAGGCGCTGCGGAGGGGGAGTGCCCACTCTGAACTCCATATTTCTCAGCAATCTTCGCCGCGCTCTCCGGGGCCTTCTCGTTGGTATTCCACCAGATGGCGACGTTGGCTCCGGCCTCGGCTAAACCGTTGGCCACGGCGAAACCAATGCCGGCCGTAGCACCGGTGACGATGGCGGTTTTACCCTTGAGGGAGAACATCTGCATCAGGCTGGGGTGTGCGGGAGGGGTGGTGTTCTCGTGGACGAAGAGTCCATTCTGGACGGGGTTGGCTGCCATTCTGGGTAGTTCCTGAGTGCAAAGAGAGGTCTAGAGAGATATAGGAGGGAGAAATGAAGATAAGAGGTATGGAAGAATGATGAGAGAAGAGCACGAGGGTGAGGAGAATAAAAGCCGGGGTGTAGCCCTGGCGGAGGGGACGCCGATTTATATGCCTGGACCGTAGCTTAGATACATCTGCACCATTAGCACGACCACCCGCAAGTTGAATGAAGCTAGACAGCTAAGAGCCCATTCAGGAGCCGCCGATCCAGCTGAAGGCGGGCTGCGCTGCCCTCTGAGACTTCGAGTGATTTTGCCGCTCATAGCTCGTTGGACCGAGGTGCAGCATCCACTTTGACCACGCACTGATCATCACAGTGGGATGAAGCTGACGCTATGACATTGTCAGACGCACGATTAGAAAGTGAGTTGTGTCTGTCACTTCTTGCATGATAGCAAGCACTCTATGTATCCGCTCCGGCACATAGTTCAGGCATCTATGGTAGCATCTGATGTACATGAAAGTCATGCAGCATCCCCCGTCAAGAAAAGCAGGAGGAGACATACAGTCCCCATAGTGACGGCTATGGCGAACTCAGACATCAATTGGTTAGTGTGGGATTCGCCTCACCGTCAACCTGAAGTGGGGGCATGTATACAACAGATTCACAGCTAAGTTACCATGCACACACAGTACGTTCTCAGCAGACAAGATCCGCCGGAAGATGGTTGAGAACCGGCTCCGGCGGGCTTCATCACCATTGGAGTGGATGGGGATTGTAATATCCGCCGGAGTTTACCCGTGCTTTGAACGAAGATATCATACAAATGTCCATTTATGACTTCGAAATGCATCGATTGATGCTCCATCCAGGATCCATAATGGATAAGTTAGTCGTGGGCGGGGAGCGGGGAACAAAGGTTTCTCCGCGTCCAACCTCCGATTCCCGACAGTCACGGCGGCCCGATTTCCAAACCAGGAAAGTCAAGTCAACCGCCGCGAACAACAACATCCACGACTTCCACGACTTCCACGACTGTGGAAGCTCTGGACAAAGAGAACTACCGCTCATTCCTGTAACTACTTATCACTCGCTCAGACCAGATCAGACCAGACCAGATTGTCATTTTCCTTATCTCACCATGTCTCACATCGCAATGGGAAGCTCACATAGCCAGTCGAACCATGACTTTCCCCGCAGTGGATACAACGAGGATGGATTCCTACGGGGTTCATGCCATCTACATCAACAAGTCTTCGTACGGAGCCAAAAAAAAAATAATGAATGAATGAAAGAAAGACTGACTGACATTTAGCATGCTACGCACTACCAAGCTATCTGATTAATGCCCCTGCAGCACTTACGCCGCAACCATCGTGCAACTAACTCGCAGCAGCAAGGTACCCGGAACTGCGGCAGTTGCCCGTTCCCCAATGCATCCTCACTCACACAGCAATTGGAATACTCAATAAACAGTAGATAGCTGAGTCGTGCTCTGCGAATAACATGCTCTGTCGAGCCCGCATGTTTGCCTGGGACGGACAAAGACCAACCGTTGCTACATTCCTCACGCTTCCGACTGTTATGCTCTACACATTCTTCTGCCTCATCGGGGTGACCATAACAAACGAATCCTTCCTGCCTCCCAATTCTGTCCCCTCCTTATCCAACATGTTCCCTGTTTGTTCCTCCGTCCTGTGTTGGCGTGTTCGTGGCTTGCAGTCCCTTGTCTTGCCGGGTGCTTAACGCTGCTCCAACGTCCTCCCAGCATCATCCTCGGCCCTGACTGGATCCAAAGTCGTCGATACGAGAAGAGTCGGACCAATAACACCAGCTTCGGTCTTTTGAATGGGTGAACGCGCCTTGAACGCTCAGAAAACCAGGGTCGGTCGGGTTTAGTCAGGAAATCGCAGGAAGGAAACAGTCATGCCGCCACTGACCACCGTGATCGCGATAGCCGTCAGCTGTTCGGTTCTTTTCATAGTCGCGGCAGTCGTGGGGACAGTCATCTGGGTCAGAGTACGCCATGACCGCTTGTCGCTGGCGGTGGCAAACGCCAAACACGGTCAATTTGGCTTGCAGCACTACCAGGCTGAGACATTGACTGAACTCTCCCGCGAAGAAGGCACGGCGCTGAGACAATATGGCCAACTTCCGTATGGAAAGCCATCTGAATGGGGAGTGCTATCATCTCGCGAAAGTCTGCCTACATCTCCAGGAGACTCGGAGTCCTCATCCCCTCGAAATGAAAAGGGCCGCGACTTGCGTCGGCCGATGTCCCGTTCTTTGTCTACGCGTTCTGCGCGAGTGTCGAAGGGCTTCCTAGGACCACAACGTATCAGCTCTCTCTCACCGCTGACAGAAAGATCCGAGAAGCGCTATTCATCATCGCCGGTGGTCTCCTGTATGAACGAGCGTCTGTCGAGCTCTGCCGTTGATGGAGCGGTTGAATTGCCCACAGAGACGACACCGAGGCACACCCCTGAGAGAGAAGAGGAATACCCGCGAGCTGAGATCACTATGCGCCCAATCTCCGGAGCGTGGCCCTTGATGCACTCGCGGGAACGTTCTGGAAGCCTGTATCCGGTCTTGGAGGATAACCCAGAAGGGATCAACCCCCCCTTTGCCCGAGTCCGAGGCGGAAGCATCACCGCTCAAACGGCTGGGACAATGCCAGAGCAGCCTGTACCTCCCCCACCATGTGCCTATCCGCCAAATCGCTTCCGCTTGTCAAAGAACGACTCTGTTTGTTTCTCCTCGTTGAGTCTGGAGACAGCCGACAGCTCCATACTCGACGAGAGCCGAAGGACATCAACCAATATCGAGAGCGACTTCACTTCGCCAGCACTGCCGCCTTGCCCTACTTTTACGCCGTTCGATGCCAATGATGTTGGACGACTGGAATTTGACAGACGTAGCTTTGTGACACCCAGCTCAGTCGTACCAGCGCCGTTTGTGTTCCCTCCTACATCTTCTGCTGTTTGGGAGGGTCAGAGGATTGAGCCAGGTCGTACTTCACCCCGTCGCAGCTTGACGGCCCGCAGCCCTACCTCGATGGAACGGAGCAGTCCGCCGCCACGACGCAGTGAGTCTGTCTCCGTGGGACATGCTCGACGTGATTCGGCTATGAGCGTCAAGCCGCTGGATCTGAGTAATACGCCTATTCTCAACGCCGCTGGTCGCAATGCGGCCTTGCTGCCGCACTTCAGCCAAATGCAGAGAATCCCGCCGCACACCGAACAACGAAGAAGCCACGATCCCTTCTACGCTGGGCCTCATAATGCCACGAACACCAACACACAGGGTGCCCCTAGAAATAGACTGACCGGTTCAGCCACACCGGAGACTTCTGCGCAGTCCCTAGCCAGCCATGTGAAGCCACCAATGGCATCTGCCATGAGAAGTGGAAACAGTCTACGAAAGGGCCATCGGCGACAAAACTGCGTCCGGATCTCGATCCACCCCCCCGTCACCTTCAATGGACCTGTATTTTCTCCGACTGCCGAGGAACCAGAAGATGTCGAGGAAATCGACTTTCGCCGTTCTCAGGTATCCGACCTGTCAGCATCCAATGTGTCGCTTCCCTCAAATGTATCTAGTCCCTCGGCGGGCAACAGTACTCGACAATCTCAGCAAAATGATCGCCTGCGTGTAATCGATGTCTCGGAAGATCGTCGAGCCTCCCGCAGAGGCACACCAAAGAGGCAAAAGCATACGCGAGGCGACTCAACGGATAGCATGATGAGCATGATCAACGCGGAAAATTCGTTGCCGGAGATTGTCACTACCCTGCCCATTCCGAAGATTGAGACCAGTCTGCTCAATACCCCCTCTCCCGAGGCGAATAGTCCTGTTTGGATGATGTCCAGCCATACCAGTTCACCATCTACATATGAGAACATGTCAAGTCCAGGCAGTCCGCGTCGGTCGGCCGTTAAGGGCCCGCGTAATCAGCCGGGCCGGCAAATGCGCAACAATTACCGCCCTTCACAGCCATTGGAGGACAATGCAAAATTGTCGCTACGAACCACCTCTCGCCCTCCTCACATGCGCAAAGATCCGGCACGGAAGCCACCTGAGTCAGGCCAGCGACCGAAGACTGATGCCCAGCAGACAGCATCGCCGCGGAACCAAGATTCGGCCGGCCAAGCTCCGCCAGGCGCCCCGAAGATGAACCATCCAGCTATCGCAAAACAGCAGCCACCTCAATCCCTACGGCAACTCCGCCCTCAACATCGGCCCCCACCCGCCGGAAGTATACCCAAGTCTCCGATTATGCGAACCGGGGGCATTGTCTCTATCTGGGAAGATGGGCCGCTGGAGCTGAAAGCACCGCCTAAACCTACAGTATCTTTGGTCAAGGAAGCAACCGAACTCCCCGACGAGCCCGCTGCAAAGCGTGTCGAAAGGACGAAAAGCCAAGGGCCTGGTGATCGATCACCGACCAAGTCGAGCAACAACCGATCCAGACCAGAACCCAAGACTCCGACGAGACGGGCCGTAGGCTTGGGCATTGGCGCTGCCACCCCAGCCAGCTTGTATGACGGCGACGGATTCTTAAAGGAGTAGACGCTCCAATCGATGCATTGCTTGGAGACTCAAAATCATGTTCGGTTGTTTGTTTCGACGTTTGGTTCCGGGTTTTGCTTAGCGTGCGGGCGTTTCTGTTGATATCCACTGTCCGAGTAGCAGTAGTAGGTAGAATAACTATGTAATACGAGCTGAGCAGTACAGCCAATGCAAAGACGGGGGAGTGGGCCTTGTAATCTTATCATCTAGAGATTAATTCATAACTTAACTATCTGTATAGAGGCCTGAAGCATCGTGCAACTAATCCGTTCTCCTCCACTTGGTCTCCTCACTCTCTGCCTCCCCATTCACATCACCATCCTGCTGCGCTTCCGCACCGTCCTCCTCCCTCTGCCTCACCGTCCCCGCCCCGGGGCCCAGCGACAACGTCGGCTCCTGCCCGCCCCCAATCCAATTCCCCTCCTCATCGAAGAACTCATGCATGTTCTCCGCCGTGATCCACCCGGAACTCCCATCCATCGGCGGCGGCAACCCGCCCGCCCCATTCCCCATGGCAATCAACCCGGACTGCAACAACGCACTGTCTCCTTCTTCCGCTTCATCCTCATCCTCCTCATCCCCGGGCTCCACCGGATCCGGATGCAAATTCGAGCACGCCGACACCGCCGCGTACAGCGCCTGCGTGGGCGTTTCCGTTTCCGTTTCCGTTTCGGTCTCCGCCGCCCCGAGCCCTTCTTCACTCTTCTCTTGTTGTTGTTGTTGTTGTTGCTGCGGCTGTGAAGGCGGCACCAGCGTCAGAATCGTGCATTCTTCCTCGTCGTCGTCGGCGGAGAAGCCCCCGGCGGTGGGGGTGGCGATCTGCATGTAGAGGCCTTGTTGCTGTTGCTGTTGCTGTTGCTGTTCTTCTTCTGGTTGGCTGACTGCTGGGAGACGCAGGCGTTGGATGGCGTGCAGCGAGATGGAGGGGTAGGGGATTGAGAGCCCTGCGTTTGCGGTGGGGGAGTAGAGGAGGAATTTTCTGGGAATGTTGAGTTAGCTTAGGCTTTGAATCTTTCTGGGGGTCTCTGGGAAGGAAAGAGGGGGAGCGTACTCGGAGGTCACCCAGACGGTGATGTTGGGAAGCGCTAGTTCCTTGGGGGATGCATCCTCTTCGCTCGTAGCGATGCTGGTGGTGTCAGTGGCAGCGCCATTCGTGTTGCTGCTGGTTTGCAAGGCGCGCAGGGTCGGGTTGGCGAGGAGGTCGCGCTCGAGGACCACGAGGTGGCAGTCCTGGCGGTGGTAGTAGAGGATGGCTGGGCCCGTGTGGAAGGAGCTGGGCGTGCGGGATTGGTGCTCCGCGAGCGGGGTGAAGGTTGTTGTGTCGGGGGCGGTGGTGAGGGGTTCCATTTTTTTAGGGGGGGGGAGTTCGTGACGAGGTGAGCGAGGGGCGTTGTTTGGAGAGTTGGGTTGGGGATGTGAGGGTGGGGAGGGGAAGAAATGAGGAAGAGAAAGAGAAATTGTGATGGATGGAGTTTGGGTCGGCGGGGAGCTTGCCGTCGTAAACGTAACTGACTAGGCTGCGGAACCGCGGGCGGGAACTGAGGAGCAGCTCCGGTTCGGGAGGTCGTCGTTCTCCTATACAATACTTTTGCTGCGTTGTTGCGGCAGTCTAGAGGTATACGGTTCTTTATTGCTCGGGTGATCGGTCTGTGCTGTTTAACTTGGTATAGCTATGAGGGCTTTTGCAACTTCGATGGTCTGAAGTGGGATGTGTAGCTTGATAGTAGCTTGAATTGTTTGTCTCTCTCTGCTGCCTTCTATGACAATCCTGCACTGTCCCCAAATCTGAATAATTCTAGTCATTCTTTCGGTTTGTTTCGGCCCATGCACACTGCGCGACATACAGCCTAGTCTACGCTGTGTACCTGGGGCCTCAGTCTCAAACAAGACGGCGCGTTGATGCGAGGCTTCGCCGTCTGGACTGACGTGCCGCGGTCCAGCAAGGGGCCCTTTCTGCATGGCCCATCTTGCGCGCGCAGCACCCATGGCGCACCGACAGCGCCAATTCGAAGCGCGTATCTTCTAGGAGATAGAGTCCTCGTCACATGAGCATGATAAGCTCATGGCCTAACAAGCCCAAGCCCAAGCCCAAGCCCAAGCCCAAGCCCAGGCAGATGTGCCCCCCGCTCATTTCACATTTAACCCCCCAAACGCCCGATCCAGCTCCTCTCCCTCATCGCGCGGCACCATCGATGGCAGAGCAGCCGCCCCCGGATCCGCAGCGGACAGGCTGTCCAGCAAGCTCGACTGCGCTGCTCCTCCCTCAGGTGACCCCGACCCGGCGACCGCGTTCATCGGCCGCAGGAGTTTCTCCTCCCGGTCCAGCCATCCGGGCGCCACGCGTCGCTTCTCCGCCAGGTCGCGCTGCACGATGGACTCCTCCCAGTCGCGGATGGCTTTCTCGGCGTCGCGGCGGGTCTTGTTCAGGTGCTGCTCCAGGGCGTTGCACGCGGCGAGGATCTCCTCCGGGGAAGCGGCGTGCTCCCCGCTCGAGGAGACTACGTAACGCGGTTTAAGGTCCGGGTTACTGGGGTCGACGGTGACGGAGGGCGGGATGGTAGATGGAACCGACTTGTAGGTGTAGGGGAGGGTGACGGTGGTGGGGAGGTTGATGAATGGGGAGACGGTCAAGGGGACTTGGGCTAGGAGGGGATGAGGGCCTGGATTGAGGAGGTCAGAATGCTGATAGAGGATAGGATGGATGGGACGGTGTACTTACGGTAGGATTCGTACATGCTGAGAGATACTGGGATTTGTGTGTATAGTCAGTGTTGTCAGTGAGCAGGCGGGATGTCCATCGATGTGTCAATAGAGGAGTTGTAGTTATATTGAATGCTTGAGGAAAGTATAGTTACAGTCAACAGTAATTGGAGACGGAGAGTTCCCCGCCTTGATTACAGGGACCGTCACGGGGCGGTAATCCCCGACTGCGGCTGATTATTACCTGTCAATACGGTTTGTTGGGTCTGACGTCGAATTGCAGCCGAATGAATCCAATTTATCCTAATGCCAATGCCAATGTTGCTACTCCGTAATGTGATTATCGATCATCATCTCCATCAGCCATTGCCGCTCATCAGCTTGAAGAGAAGCACACGAGAGCGCAGAACCCGGTTTCAGCTCGTCTGACAGCCTTCCCTCTTCCCTCCTTTCCTTTCCTTTCCTTACCTTATAATAAATTGTATACCTAGCCCCTCTTGCTTATCTACCAGTGTTAAGTTACTTAGTTATTCACGAACGTGTGGCACGGTGGCATTGTCTCAGTTTCTCTGTCTAGTTAAGCCCCGAGTGAACCCCCAAGTGACCCTCTTTCTCCTATTATTCTCGCAGTGTCTCTGTCTGCATTGGCCAGGCCTTCAATTCCCACTTCTCTCCCCCCATCTGATATAAGATCGTTAAATCCTTAAAAATCTTCTACTTTAGTGCCCACTGCCTACTGTCCACTGCCCACTAACTCCCCCCCCCTCTTCTACTCCTCCCTCCCTCCCGACCCTGTTATCGGGTTCCTCTTCTCCACCTTTCTGGTTTCTTTTCGCCCCGAGATCATCCCTGCAGTTCGGTCTTGCCACAAGTTCTTCCTCTTGCTCTGCTCTTTCTCTGGTGTCTCGGCTGGGAATTCCCCCATCCCGCGCTTAACCCCCCACCACCACCACCACCACCACCAACAACTGGCCCGCCGCGCCTGTCGCCCTTCCCCTTTTCCCCTCCTCTTCCTTCATCCTCCGGGGCACAACGTGCTTGCGATTCATTCTGGTCCAAGACTCAACCTCCTTTGTGCCTCGAATCCTTAATCACCATGGATCGCAACATCGCGCGTGCGGTGACGGAGAAGAAGCCGGTCCCGGAGATCGACTTCACATTACATGTCATGGAAGATGGCACTCAGGTGTCTACCCTCGAGCGAGTCATCAAAGGTTTGCCACGTTCCCTGCCTCAATATACCGACTCACTTGCGAAAAGAATCCCGCTAATCGCATGGCAACCATCCAGAGGTGCAAGCGCCGGCGTTGAACACCCCGTCGGACGATCAGTTCTGGTCTCCTGAAGACCCCTCCAAGCCCAACCTCCAGTTCCTCAAACAGCACTTCTACCGGGAAGGTCGTCTTACGGAAGACCAAGCGCTATGGATCATACAGGCTGGAACGCAGCTGCTCAGAGCCGAACCCAACCTACTGGAGATGGATGCGCCCATCACCGTGTGCGGTGATGTCCACGGTCAATATTACGACCTAATGAAGCTCTTCGAAGTCGGTGGCGACCCATCCGAGACCCGCTATCTCTTCCTCGGTGACTATGTCGACCGAGGTTACTTCAGTATCGAGGTGAGTATCCGTCCTGTCACGGTTGCTAGCCGCTTCGGTCTGACCCTCCGCAATAGTGTGTGCTCTACCTGTGGGCCTTGAAGATCTGGTACCCCAACACTCTCTGGTTACTGCGGGGTAATCACGAATGTAGACATTTGACGGACTACTTCACCTTTAAGCTGGAGTGTAAGCACAAGTACAGCGAGCGCATTTACGAGGCTTGCATTGAATCTTTCTGCTCGCTACCGCTGGCGGCGGTCATGAACAAGCAATTCTTGTGTATTCACGGTGGCTTGAGCCCTGAATTGCATACTTTGGAGGATATCAAGGCCGTACGTTTTCCTCCTGGCCATTTGGCGAGGCGCTAGCTGACTCGCGCTCCTCAGATCGACCGTTTCAGAGAACCTCCGACCCACGGCCTGATGTGTGATATTCTTTGGGCCGATCCCTTGGAAGAATTCGGACAGGAGAAGACCGGAGACTATTTCATCCACAACAGCGTGCGAGGTTGCTCGTACTTCTTCTCATATCCTGCGGCTTGCGCTTTCCTCGAAAAAAACAACCTTCTTTCCATCATTCGCGCGCACGAAGCTCAAGACGCGGGCTATCGCATGTACCGCAAGACCCGGACAACGGGCTTCCCCAGTGTCATGACCATTTTCAGCGCTCCCAACTACCTGGACGTCTACAACAACAAAGCCGCCGTCTTGAAGTATGAGAACAACGTCATGAACATCCGTCAGTTCAACTGCACCCCCCACCCGTACTGGTTGCCGAACTTCATGGACGTCTTCACCTGGTCCCTTCCTTTCGTCGGTGAGAAGATCACGGATATGTTGATTGCAATCCTCAACACCTGCTCCAAGGAGGAGCTGGAAGAAGAGACTCCTACTTCTGTATCACCTACAGCGCCCTCGTCACCTCCAGCGGCCCAGATGGATGTGGAGAGCAGCGAATTCAAGCGTCGTGCCATCAAGAACAAGATCCTGGCCATCGGCCGTCTCTCGCGTGTGTTCCAGGTGCTCCGTGAAGAATCCGAACGAGTCACTGAGCTCAAGACCGCGGCTGGTGGTCGTCTTCCGGCGGGTACTTTGATGTTGGGTGCGGAGGGCATCAAGCAAGCCATCACGAACTTTGAAGATGCGCGCAAGGTCGATCTGCAGAACGAACGCCTGCCTCCTTCTCAGGAGGAAGTCATCCGACGCAGTGAAGAGGACCGACGCATTGCTCTCGAGCGAGCGCAGCATGAAGCCGACAACGATGCCGGCCTGGCCACAGTGGCTCGCAGAATCAGCATGTAAGTTTGGCTCCCTTCCGAAGGTTGAACGGCAGGTTCTAATTTATCTAGGTCGGCTGGTTCGGGCAAAACTCGTCGACAACGAGACGCTGCTCCCGTTTCCCGGGAGGCATGAGCGTCAGACAAGACAGATTTTTATCGAGATCCTGCCGGTTCGGCGAAAGTGGCACACATGGACAGATATCCTTCCTTGCAATTTTAGGCGTGCAACTGCTTCACCCTTGTATTGAACGAAACTCACAGCTTCGAACCCAACGGGCGAGTGATCTTGCCTAGCGACGACCACCTTGGATTAAACGGCCGATCGCACTGGTGGCAAGCACTGTATCAAAGACTGGAGTTGGCGGACGGGGGATAAATCATGTAATTCGTGCACACAAGCGGTTCTAGGCGTCCGTGACGTCTGAACTATGAGTTGATGAATCGATACACCATGAATTCTGCTCTCATCTTCCGGCCCCGCCTTTCGGCTGTTTGATATTGTAGTATGACCAGCGTAGGAGATTAGCCATAAATCTCTAGATAATGGAACAGGAAAATAGACCCCGCCGAAATCATGCTTGGTACCTTACATGTGGTGGAAGTTATCCGGCTGGTTTCCGGCCCGCCAAGACCAACCACCAACTTCAATCCACCGATACCTTGCTTGCTCCGGCGGCCTGGCTTTCCTCCCTTTGTCTTCCATTTCATCCTCTTTGCCAACCTTCAATTCACATCAATGCCTCCCAAACTACGCGGCTCGCTCACAGCGAGCCTTGCGCACGCGGGCCGAGACTCCGCCACGGTCTTTTACTGTCCCTCCTGCTCTACCTGGCGCCGAAACACCAAAACCGCCCTCAGTCTTGCGCGTCGTGCCACCAGCACCACCGGCGTTGCTTCCTCCAACTCATCACAACAATCACAGCCCCTAGATTTCCGACCCCACACTCATCCGATACCCTCCGCACCTGCTCCGCGACCCCTCAATAACACGGTTCCTGTCGTTCATGCCGGTGGCCGCAACATCCCTCCGCGGCTGAAAGGCCTCCACACGACGCTCGACCAGCTCAAAGATGTTGCGCCCGAGCAGGTCAATCTCAGTCGGTTGCAGCTGGCAATGAGGGGTCTGGAGTCGGAGACCCCTGTGATTCGTGTGGCTGGTATGTTCATCCAGTGTCATCTCCCTCTATCCTGCTGCTAATTGATTAACAATGGCGACGACTTGCTAACATCGCTTAGTGCTGGGCTTGAATGATGCCAGTGCGGCGCGCAGACTGGTGAAACTGCTACTCGCTGACCCCTTGAACGGAAAGGAAAGCTGGGAGGACTTGTTGGAGGAAATGGGCGCGGGGGCTGGAGGCTTGGAGAGGGGACTCTTGATCCGGTGGGTCTCTGTCTAAAGAATCTACCATGAACAGGAAAGGAATACATTGGCTAACTATCCCAATCCGCGATGAAAACAGTTACGGTCCAATTTCGCAGAGCATACCCAATGACCTCCTCCCGACCATCTCGGTTCCCTCGCCGATCCTGAAGCAAGGCAACCTGGAGATCCTGATCACCAGCCTGGGCGCGGATACCCGAGCGAATGCCAAGTTCACAGCCGATACGTTCCTGGTACCGACGGTGACGATTCAGACCTCGCATTCGGGACGGCATAATATGGTGCGGTACCCGGTGCACCGGAGCATCGTGTGCGGCAGTGGCGTCGACGGATTTCTGGCCTACAGCGGGCTGATGGCACGCTCGGATCTCAAAAACGAGGCGGGGTCGGTCTACGGCGCGATCGAGCTGCCGGTGACCAATCCGGAGAAGTACAACAATGGACGGGTCGCGTTTGTCGACATCGATAAGGCGGACGAGGCGTTGGCCAAATTCCGAGAGTCGGTGCAGAACGCCTCGCTCTACGAACGCGGGTGGAACAGCAGTGGTGTCCAGCCGGTGGTGGATTGGCTGACTGCGCTGCGGGCGGAGGCGGGCAGTACGCTGGATCCTTCGCTGCGCACCCTGATCACGTCTCTGCTGGATGCGGCAGAGGCGGGAGTCGTCGCGGAGGAGACACGGAGGACCCAGGAGCAAGAAATGGGCTTGGTGCCGGTGGAGGTGAGGGAGGGGTTGGATCGATCCGTGTCGGAATGGGCGGAAAAGGCGCACACAGAGCTCCGCGGCGCACTGGAAGAAGGGTTCGCCAGCAAGCCTTGGAAGGGTCTTGCATGGTGGAAGCTCTTCTGGCGCGTGGATGACGTGGGCATGATTACCGGGGAGATCCTAGATCGCAAGTTTCTGCGTCAGGCTGAGAGGGAGGTCATCTGGACGGCTGGCCGGTTCCAGCAGGCCGGACTGGTCGAGACCACTCCGGGGTCTAGCCCGACCGAAGAACCATCCTGGCCAACGCAGATATCCACACGACGGACCAAGCTGGTCGAGTCGACGGCGCCGGCACTGCAGGCGTTGGCGCAGCGACTCGTGCTGTTCAGCATGTCGACCACCACCCTATCCTCGGCGCTGTCGATCTTGACCTATCTCTCCTGGCCTGCCGCGTCTGTGTACGAGACCTGCACGGTGGCAGCGGTGGGTTTGATCTACTCGCTGCGTCGCCAGCAGCGCAAGTGGGAAAGCGCGCGGACCTGGTTCGAGAACGAGGCCCGCGAGGACGGCCGCACGGCTCTGCTCGAGACGGAGGACCAACTCCGTGGGATTGTGCAGCGCGGCGTACGCCCCGTGGAGGAGGCAGTCCCGGTGTCTCCCCTTGAGACGCGACAAGCCATCGATCGAGCGCGCAATGCTCTCGAGGAGGTCGACTAGATACACCCTAGACTTTTCACCCTGTATGTACTGTACCACTATGAAACCAAAATGAATATCGTACAACATCCCATTTTCTTTGTCGGGCTCAGGAGATTTCCACACTGCCCTCCGGCACGCCCTTCCAACTCCTCAACCGCCTCGCCAAGAACTGCATGACGGGCAACATCTCGTCCCGATTCCGGGGCATCCCATCCCCGCGGCGGGCATACCGATGGACCTCGACAAACTCAAACCGATCCTTCGTCCTGCGCACCGCGCTCTCCGTCACGGCCGCCGAATCCCTTCCCGCGACCACCAACACCGGCGTCCGATTTTTCTGGGTGGTGGTATTCTTGACCGCGGACAACGGAAACGGGGCCCCGATCGACACCACCCCGGCCAACCAGCGATCAGTTTCGGTCTGCTGCGGAGGAGACCCCAATGATGCACCGTCCTCCCCAGAATCAGCAGCCGCCGCCGCCGCCGCCGCCGCAGCAGCAGCAGCACTGGCAACCTCCAACCCCACCATCCCGCCCTGCCCCAACCCCAACACCAAGACATCCCGCCACCGATACCCGCACGTCCGCACGAGAACGCCCGCGATCACCTCGTGGACGAGCAGGCGCACCGCCCGCGCGAATCCGGCGTCCATGTCCAGCTCCCCCGCCGGCGTGAAGGTCACGTCGTCGCCCCAGTGGTAGCCGCCCAGGTCGAAGGGGAGGGGCTGCGGGGCTTGCAGGGTCAGGATGGTGGTTTCGGGGAGGTGGAGGGCGCGCGCGAAGGCGGTGAAGTTGGCGGCCGTGTCGCCGAGGCCGTGGAGGAGAAGGAGGATGTTGGGGCATTTTTCGGATGTGCTGGGGGGGTGCGTGATCGTGATGGTGAGGTGGGAGGGGAAGTCGGTGGGTTTGGGGGCGCGTGGGGTGGATGTGGTCATTGTGGTTTGTGATGTCTTTTTTTTTCTTCTGTTTGGGTGAGGCGGTGTTGCTTGTTTATTCTAGAGGTTGTTTGTTTGTTGGTACCTGTGGTGGTTTGTGGTAGGGTGATTGTGTAGATGGAGGGGTTTGATGGAGGGGAGGGGTGGGAGGAGAGCTGGCTGCCCAGAGGAAAGCTCATGTCCGCCGCGCCGGCGCCGGCAGGTAAGTTAGTTGCCGCTTTCGGGTTAGTCGGCTGGCTCAGTGCATATGCTGCATATGCTGCTGCTGCTGCTGCTGCTGCTGCTGCTGCTGCGCTACTGTTTACTATCGTCATGCAGAAGGTTATTTGCATCATGACATGAGGTGTTTTATTCAACATGCTCATGCTCACACTCTTACTCAATCATACTTAGAAATGATCACAGTGGTCATCGCAGGTCTCTCATGACCTGACCGACAATCAAGCAATGACATGATGGAACGGAGAATGATCGTTGATTCTCTATGCTCGATACGGTTTCTGTCTGGCATGGCATGACGTCCCATCCCATTCATACTGAAACGAAGGCCAAGAGCGACCATCTGGACAACTGTGCTCCGACTGCAACAACAACAGACATGATGCACATTCTCCAGCTGAAGCAGTACGTAATGTCTTTCCTCTGCCCATCCACCGGCCCCCAAGCCACATTCCGACACTGCCACACATCGCCTCCCTTAGGCCACTGATTCAGAGGTCATCACAGCCGACTGACACGAACTCCAAAAGCACGCTACAGGACTTCCGGTCTCAGGCTATCGAACATTGCGGAGCCTTCGGTAGAATCAATCGGGCAACTAGCTGTGGGGATAACGATCACGTCTGGACCTCGCATAGCCAACCATTAACCCCGAGCGTGCTCCACTCCGTGCAGCATTGCGCGTGCCCCAAAACCATGACATTTCCAGATTTACCCGCCAGGCAAGGCCAGACACTCCAGAGTCCAGCCTAATCTGCATAGGAGTAGATCTGGGGAAAGATTAGATCTGATATCCAGGCCAGCCCTCGAAGGTCCGTTGTGCTTGTGCTTCTTGACTTGGGCCACTCCGAGTTGCACAACATAGGGCAGAGGTATAAGCCTTGACAAGAGCTTCTTGGCGCACAGTGTTCCTTCGGTTCAGCCGGCTTCGTCCTCAGCCCTCGCCAAGCCCGGGCGAGTGCTGTGGCCGAGGCGCTAAATCCACAGCCAGATGGAACTCACCCAGAGTTTAAGGCTGAGGCAATCCCCATCTGCATCTTGGCCCCTCCCCCCCAGCGGTGTCGCCCGTCCTACCCATGGGATTCATGGGAATTATGGGACACGTACGTATTTTCAAGGCGATGATCCCTGGATAATCCCTAGAATGTAGGCACACAGGAAGGGTCTGGAAAAGGGAAATCCTGCGAAATCAGTCAGCTAGTCCCGCATTGGCATGGGCATCTCTCTAGGTACCTATTTTCAGAGGCGCAGGCGGAACCAAAGGACGCGGAGGGGTCATTATTCTGTCCGCCCCTCTTTCTCTGGTGGCTGACTGTCCCCTCGGCCTCCCACCATTGGAACCCATGTTTCAGCTCACAAACAAGCCCACCGTGTCCTCAGCTGTACGGAAAGTACCCCTGGCGGATTTCCGAGCACAGCGTACCGCAGCCCCGTAACCCGGAAGGCTCACTCCATGCTATCCGACCCCTCCGGGCTGACTGTATGCCGTGCGATGCAGCCAATGGCCTGATTCTCTCAGCCAGCCTTCAAAGAAGCGCTTTACACGCACAGGCGGCACCCATCGACTACGCTTACGCTGCCCCTCCGAGTCGCTGAGGTGAAAGGATGACCAACGTGGCGCGGGGACCAGCGACTGGGAGTGATCTGCCTTCCATCCACCCCACCTTGGAGGGGCGATACCTGAGCATCGCCATTCAGCCAATGATCCCTCCCCCCACAAGACATTGAGAGTTTTGCAGGCCTCCAGCAGCTATCCTAGTCTTCACGACAGCAGTGGGTCAGGGGGCGCGGTAGAGGGGTACCTAGCCGACGAGAGCTGAATTAGCTGAGGTGGGTTGGCTGAGGCACAGCGGGCTGTATATAAGGCGTCCATCGTCCTGCCTCTGGCTTTCTTTTTCTCTCTCCATTCACACACACTATCTTTCCTCCTTTTCAAACAACCTCTTCACACATTACACCATCAATCACCATGGCTTGGGGCTGGGGTAAGTCACTACTATGCGGCTGCTGACCGTCATCTGGTTGCATCGCGGGATTAACCCTGTCCTGTTACTTGCCCAGTTTGACTTCCGTAACCTGCATCGGATGGACATGTTGGTAACACGACTAACCACGTTTGCCTTGCAGACGATTCCAACGAGGCTCACCGTCAGGTCTACAACGGCGAGCAGCACCACGAGGCCAAGTTCTCCCACGAGCTTCTGGCCGGTGCCGCTTCCTTCGAGGGCATGAAGCTCTTCGAGGACCACCAGCGCAAGGAGGGTATGCATTGTCCCTCGTCTAACTACATCCCTCTTCCCTCTGCCATGCTAACCGCGATGACATCCAACAGGCAAGCCCGTTAGCCACGCTTTCGCCAAGGAGCTTCTTGCTGGCATCGTCGGTTCGCAGATCGACAGACTTGCCGAGACCAAGGGTATGGACGAGGTCGACAAGATCCGTGCCAAGAAGCACGCCCAGGAGAACGCCCACCAGATGTACGAGGAGCACTACGAGCGCGGTCACGGCGCCCCCGAATACGACCCTCGCCTTCCTCCTCACCCCCACTTCCGTGACGAGGGCCGCTTCCCTGATCAGGGCCGGTGGTAAGGGCCGTGGCTGGTACTAAGCTCTAGTGCGATAAGGAATAGACTGGATCTGAACCTGTCGACCGGGGGTGTGTGTTGATATGATACCGATGATTTGTTGTTCCCAATGAAAAAATATTCCTCATAATTGTTTTGTTTTTTCTAATCCTGAAGCGTGGTCCTCTGCATGCGACGTGGCCTGTAGATTCGAGCCCTCTCATGCATATATGATCTGTACGGTATGGTGGAGAGGCAGATGAGCTATCATCGAATCATGAGAGTCGGTCTGGAAGGAGTAGAAACCAAAACAAAACAGTCGTAATGATGAATCGCAACCCGATGCAAGAGTTACTGAGTATGAAGGTCAAACGCTGGGCAGGCTGAAACGACCACCGCAAACTGCATGGCCAGTATGTAGGATTCCACCCAATCGGGCAAGTAACGCGGATTATCACGGAGTGATTGCGACTGACGGCAAGCAAGGATCGTCGGTCGTCGGGGGAGGGGGAGTGTGTGCGACTATTTTCGGTTCCTGTATGAAGATAGATAGTGTCCTGCGGAAGAGAGGGGCAGTTTTGGGAGTGCATTTCCGGGTTCTCAATTCTACTTTGGGAACCCTTTTTTTTTTTTTTCGCATGTTGACAGATTGATTCAAGGAATCTCCCAAGGCCCTGACAAGGAAATTCCAATCATAAGGAACGAAATGCGAAGCTGTCAAGGACATCCATGGAACTGTAAGTGGAGAGGAAGAGAGGGAAAGAGGGAGTATACGAGCAGCAACCACCGTGTATGCGCGGCAAGCCTCTTACTTTATGGGGATACTTTGTCCGGTATGACAGAGCAGCCAATGACTGATGATCACCGCTCACCGCCCTGCCAAGTGCTCCTGCAAATGAGCTCATCGGCTGCAGCACGTGCATAAACCCGGGCCTATCAGGCTACGATAGACGGACAATTCGGGCAAGAAGAAGGTTCAACTCGTTCCTCTCCAATTTTGAATCCATGAAATCAGGTATCTTGCTGGCTTCGTTCCCGCTCGCTCAAAAGTCACTCGGCTCCTCTTTGTCTCGCTATGACGGGCTGGACTGATCCTCTGGTGGCTTGCCTGTGGTTTGCGCTCTTGACCTCTTGACCTCTTGACCTCTTGCGCATTTTGGCATTTTTAGTTCTTTTTTCCACACATTTAAACTTAACTTGTATTTTCCTTCTTCCATTCTTATCTGCTTCTACCTCCGCCCTCCCGTTCCACTGTGACATTCTATTTCTATCTACTATTTTTTTTCCGGACCCTGTCTCTTTTACTCCCCTCCTCTCATCCTCCTTCTCGTCCTATATTGGAGAATTGTGTGCGTGTTCTACCTTCTTGGCCCCAAGAATGAACTGATCGTTGTCTTGAGCTACTCTCCAATCGCCCTGAGCAATGGGAGCTCTTATCGATTGATCCTCGGATACCAGATTCCCTGTCAACTTGCTCCACCATTCTTCTGCTTCATCTTGTTGCCACTGTGATGGCACTTGCTGCGTCATAAATCCTCCTGGGTATCTGCTGTAATTTTTTTTGTCAACCGTATTATGCTCGCTCATGCCTCTGCCTTCCCAGCATGAAATTCGCCAAGTGTGTCTCACTCACCCAAACCCACCATTGCTCCGGAATGCTTGTTTCCTGTGAGGCGTTGCTGACCCAGTCATTGGCGACAGGGAGCTGGAGCAGGAATTAGTTCCAGAGTGGCGAGCTAAATATCTCGACTACAAGGTTGGTGCTGCCCCAGTTGCTTGCTCCCATACGCTGGGGGTGTGGTTCCGATTCTCATCATTGTATGACTTTGGGGGACGACAGGCCGGCAAAAAGAAAGTCAAAGCCATCTCGCGCGCCCTACAGAAAGCCAATCGCAGCCCTAGCCATCCGTCCATCCGCAATTTATCCTACCCCCAACATGACCAGTCCGATCGCCTGCTGAGTTCGGACCCCCGCTCGTCATTCCGAAGCGAAAGCCGACACGATTTACCCCAGGACACCCTTCAGGTTCCCTCGACGCCGGCGCGAAGCAATGGCTTGACACCGCGCTCAACGTCGGCGCGCAGTGAACGCCAGCCCCTCCGGGCCCCTGCATCGCGCTTCTCGGGCGTGGTCGGCACGTATGGAAGTATTGTCGCCACACCGCCATCACAGCAGGCTGCTTCCTCGGATGTAGCCTCTCTGCGGCTGCCAGATCCGGCAATTGATCCCAAGGAGGTCGAGTTCTCCTCGCCAGAAAGAGAGGATGATCCAGACGACCACCGCCCCGAGAGCCCGTCGCCGATCTTATCACGATATGATAGCTTGCGACCAGCCACGCCTGCCAGATCGCGCCGGAGCCCCTCGACGCCACAACCCGCTGCTGGGGGTATCAAGGATTACAAGAGGAACACGGGTGCAGGCCCGTCGAACCGGAGAGGTTCCCTACTGCAGCGGGTGCTGTCTTACCAGGACTGGAATGCTCCCGAGAAGCGCGACACCACCGATACCTCGACATCGGAAATTGCCAAGCGGCAGGATGAGTTCTTCGCTTTTCTCGATGGCGAGCTAGCCAAGATAGATTCGTTCTATCAGATGAAAGAACAAGAAGCGGCGGAGCGTTTGAAGGTGCTCCGAAGCCAGCTGCATATCATGCGGGACCAGCGCACTCAAGAAGTGCTTGGGAAAACGAAAAACGGTGGGCTCAAGAAGGACAATGCGCAGGCCAACGGCTTTGGCGGACTCGCCAAGATCAAGGATGCTTTCCCCGGGCGTCATTTTGGGAAAAATTCCAAGGCCCTGGCAGAGTTGGCAACGCCGGTCGGACAAGCGCAAGACCTACCGAACACCATCACACGGCGAGATTTCGCACGGCGGCCGGAAGAGTCCAACAACGCCGAGGTTCCTTATCGCTCCGCCAAAAGAAAGCTTAAGCATGCGCTTCAAGAATTCTATCGTGGCGTGGAGTTGTTGAAGGCATATGCCTATCTGAACCGGACCGCGTTCCGGAAAATCAACAAGAAATATGACAAGGTTGTCAATGCACACCCCCCAATGCGATATCTCTCTGAGAAGGTCAACAAGGCGTGGTTCGTCCAGAGTGAGGTCACGGAGCATTTGTTGTCGGCAGCAGAGGACCTCTACGCCCGCTATTTCGAGCGCGGAAATCGCAAGATTGCGGCCTCGAAGTTGCGCCATACAGTCAACAAGGCTGGAGACTACTCGCCGAACACATTCCGCTCTGGTCTCCTGTTGATGGCTGGCATCCTGTTTGCAGCCCAGGCATTGGTTTATGCTAGCCGTAATCTGAATAATGATGATTCCGACGTGAAGCTTAATACGAGCTACTTGCTCCAGGTTAGTCTCGCATACCCGCTCACGGGCGCTTGAGCCTCTAACTTCAATAGATATACGGTGGTTATTTCCTCATCGTTCTGCATTTTCTCCTATTCTGCTTGGACTGCATGGTCTGGACGAAGGCCAAGATAAACTACGTCTTCGTTTTCGAGTTCGACACCAGACACGCATTAGACTGGCGGCAGTTAACTGAGGTTAGAGCTTCTATCTCATCATGTGGATTGCTTGATATTGACGTGACTGCAGTTACCGAGTTTCTTCTTGTTCATACTAGGTCTCTTCATGTGGCTTAATTTCATGATGATCAACGACGCATATATCTATTGGCCTGTCATCTTGATAGGTGTGACGGTGGTAGTTCTTTTCTTACCTGTGCGCACTTTATACCACCACAGTCGAAAGTGGTGGGCATATTCCAATGTGAGTAGTGCTCTAGTTGACATACCGGAGTTGAAAGCTAACTATGCACGGTAGTGGCGACTTCTGTTGGCTGGTCTATACCCTGTCGAGTTTCGTGATTTCTTTCTCGGTGATATGTACTGCTCTCAGACGTACGCCATGGGCGTGAGTATCATTCTATTGTTGCATGAACTATGGCAGCGGTCGCTAATCAATCTTAGAATATTGAATTGTTCTTCTGCCTCTATGCGAAACACTGGAGTGACCCTCAGCAGTGTAACTCCTCTCACTCCCGGCTGCTGGGGTTCTTCACGTGCCTTCCAGGAATATGGAGAGCTCTTCAGTGCTTACGTCGATATGCCGACACGAGGAACGCCTTCCCTCACTTACTCAACTTCGGAAAATACATGTTCACTGTCCTCTACTATTGTACCCTGAGTCTCTACCGTATCGACAAGGTCTCGAGCTTTGAGGCTCCGTTCATCACGTTTGCGTTGCTGAATGCTGTCTACTGCTCCGTGTGGGATCTCGCCATGGATTGGAGTCTGGGAAACCCTCACGCGAAGAACCCAATGCTTCGTGAGGTGCTCGCCTTCCGGAAGCCGTGGGTGTACTATGTTGGGATGGTTATCGATGTTGTTGTCCGCTTCAACTGGATCTTCTATGCGATCTTCCGCAAGGACATACAGCATTCGGCTGTCCTCAGTTTCGCTGTTGCACTCTCAGAGGTGGGCCGCCGAGGGGTGTGGACGATCTTCCGTGTGGAGAACGAGCACTGCACCAACGTTCTTCTCTTCCGAGCATCCAGGGATGTTCCGCTACCGTACGAAGTGCCCAAACCACAGGCTCCGTCGGCTCAGCCAGAGGAGGCTATGCAGCTTCAAGACCACCAGCCTCTGGCGCCCGTCCCTACCATTGGCGACGCCGAGCAAGGAACCCCACCCACTCCAGGCTTGTCTGTTCGGAGCCCACGTGGTCTTGCTCGGGTTGGTACCTTGTTGGCTGCGGCCCATGCACAAGACTTCCAGCGTAAGAGGCGTCCTGGTGAGTTGCATAGCGCTTCGATCACCCGGGAGGGCCTGGATACGCCGGATGACAGTACAGATGAGGAAGAAGGCTCGCGGCCGTCGTCCGAGGGTGGCAATGTGATAGTGGAAGAGTATCGTGATGATGACGACCGGGAGTAACAGCCTCTGAGCTGGTTGAGGCCACGCATCCAAACCCTAGCGATAGGATATCTGCATTCATGGCATATATTAGAGGATAGAATTTATACATAATATCGCATATAATAGATGATCATATGTTATGATGCTGCGAATTCGCGCATAAGCCTTGTGTCTTTGTGCTCCAAACTCCATGTAGGTTGTAGCTGCAGAGTAAATGTGCTGCCTAAGGCTCAGTGAAGCGATAGGAGAGAATCAGGTGACGAAACGACGTCACGCGGCTCCCGAGCAGAAAGGCGGTATCTCCGCCCGCGTTCTCGACCCTTCTCTCTCCACTTCACTTCGCCCCCCGGTCTTCCTGTCAGCCGTGAGTTTTAAAGCATTAACCATCTCGTTCTCTCTGGATCGGTCTTCTAATTACTCCATAGAAGCTACTCTGAGAGCAAAATGGCTGCCAACATTAGATATGAGCCCGCACCGCAGCGCGACTCTTTTGAAGAGCGTGCTTACACTCAGCCCCCGCCTTCTTATCAGGCAACTGCCGATTACACCCAGGCGCCTCGCAGCGAAGACGACAACGTTCCCGATGACTTCAAGGTAAAGCTTCCGTCCAACACTGATCTACATCTTGACTGACAGTATGTGATGCAGTTCGGCGGCACTGTGGCGGAGGGCACCCTGCCCATTCGTATGCAGTTCATCCGCAAGGTCTATGCGATCCTGTGAGTGCCTCTCCCGATATACCTCAAACCGGAGTGTAGCCAGCTGTATACATATTCAGACCTAACACCTTTCTGAAATCCAGGACGGCCCAACTCCTCCTCACGACGGTGATGAGCTCGATCTCCTTCTTCAGCCCCAGCTACCGGACCTGGATCCAGTCCAACTTCTGGGTGATGATCCTGTCGGTGTTCGGCGCGCTGGGCTTCATGCTGGTGACCTACTGGAAGCGCAAGTCGTACCCAGCCAATCTACTGTTCTTGTCGGGCTTCACGATCATGGAGGCCTACTCGATCAGCGTGGTGACGTCGCTGTACGAGAGCCGGATCGTGCTGCAGGCGCTGGTGATCACGCTGGGCCTGTTCGTCGCCCTGACGCTGTTCGCGTGCCAGACCAAGTACGACTTCACGCACTGGATGCCCTACCTCTTTGGCGCGCTGTGGTTCTTGATCCTCTTCGGCTTCATGGCCATGTTCTTCCCCGGCAACAGCACCGTCGAGCTCGTCTACGGCGGCGTCGCCGCCCTCGTCTTCGCCGGCTACATCCTCGTCGACACCCAGCTCGTCATGCGCCACTACCACGTCGAGGAGGAGATCGCCGCCTCCATCTCGCTCTACCTCGACATCCTGAACCTGTTCCTCGCCATCCTGCGCATCCTGAACAGCCAGAGCAATAATTAAGCTCCTGGGTTCGGCGCCATGCAGGGTTGCTTGGCTTAGGCTCAGGCTTTACTGCGGCTAGCTACTATTCCCACCTTACTCCCTCCATTCCCCTTCCTCCATCCCACCCCCATAAACCACCCCAAACAACACCAACGAAAAGAAACATAAACCTACTCCACCAGTTCCAAACAAGATTGCCCAAATAAGATAACGAAATGGAGTTTCTTGCTCTTGTCGCTTTGCTTTGCTCTGCTTTGCTTCCCTCGCCCCCAATCAGGCCTTGCTCCGTTGTATTTCTCCAAACCTCTACCTCTTACCTAATCCATCGGCCCTAGGGCTTGTCCTCTCGACATAGTCTCTTTCCGTGTGCTTGATCTCAAGATCATCTCTGAATTAGCCCCGTCTTGCTTTTGTTTCATTTTCATACAACCAGCATATTTGCTCTTGAAGTCCCGTGTACCTGTCCCCCTTTTTCCACCCACGTTTGTAAATCAGATATGGTCTAAGAATGCCAGATTCATTGGTGCAGTGTGCTCATGGAGTTAACCCTCCCCGGACACGGACACGTAGAACCACACAACAGGCCAAGAAACGTATCTGCAGCCACAGCCTGATCATATCATGCCGGTTAGATCTTCAGTTGTTAGTGATACACAGACACAAGACAATATATGTCTGTCACGATATTATTTTGAGACCCCACCTGACAGCCGTGTAAGCAGTCTATCTATCTTCTTTACAGGAATATATATAGCTATAGACTAGATGCTACATCTCCCGTCTAACAATCTGGATCACACTACTAACCCACGTGGGCCTGCCATTTTCGGCCGTCCTCTGGTAGCACCTTCCTCCTCCCACCACGACCTCGTCCGGTAACATTCCCACCACGCACGTGAGGAACTGGCAGCACACACGATAGGAAACTAAGAGCCACCGAAACAGCCCATCCACTTCTTGGAAGGGAGAAAAGGGGCGGAAACGGGGATCTACCTACCGATGAACGTTATACCCGAAAGAACTGCGTTGTTTTCCAGGGTTGGTGGCCTACGTTTGCTGTTCGTGGGTATGTTATCAATAGTATTAGATTAATGAATGATCTGGCACAAGCTAAGCATTAAGTTAAGTGTAATAGTCGAGAGGGAGTGCTTGCCGGCAAGCAGGTCCACAGCAAAGAGGGGGGGGGGGGGGGGGAGATTAACCGCGCCGTGAATTGAATCCAATCGTAGCCATTGAATTGATAAAGGGGCCTATATCCCAATGCATACATATCATATCATGATAGCCCATGGACCATGCGCCTTGTCTCCCCGCGCAAAACCGTCCAGACGTTTGGGTGGGACTCTTCTCCATCTCCACCAGGGGTCCGGCTTCCCGTTTGCGCGTTGGATTCCCAATAAGACCCAGCGGCGTCCCGGGGGGGGTTGATCTGGGAGGATGGAGCGCTCAAAGTCGAGGAACGTTCACGCAGCGGTCGTGGTCGTTCCAGGTTCATATTGCCCGGGATGGGATCGCGATGAAGCACCCCGAAGCTATGGATCGGTCGCAGGGAGGCCTCGGCTTGCGGAAATCAGCTGGCCGCGATCGAGCGCATGCGGACGGGCCCAGAGTCCTTCCAGCAAAAACCCAGAAACATCCGATGAGCGATCTCCGCAATGTCCTTCGTAGGGAAACGGGGGCGGGGAAGGTCCAAGCTAACCGAGGAAAGACTGGCACGACCGTCCCTTGAATTGGGGCAAGGCATGAATACACACGCCGCTCGTGCTTTTGAGGCCGTTCACAAGTTCGATCGGTGCGCTCTTTGCCGACGAACGTATACCCGTGAGACCAGAGCGTGATTCTGAAGAGCGCCCCCACGCGTGCCGTGTCCGTGCAGCGATTCGCACCCCAACTTTTGTATCAGGCTGTAGTTTCTTGGGAGAGAGCTGCTGGTTGAGCTGGCGGATAAGCGTGGTTGGGTTCAATCGATGGTGATCAGTCCCGTGGTCGAGTACATTTGGGCAGTTGCGATCTAGTTTCCCGCCTCGAATCAGGCCAAGAAGGCACAGTTGTGTGCAATACTGTCGGGACTGGCCTTGGGAGCGTGAGTGTTGGGTTTTCTGTACGGTCGGTGAAGAGGGAGGAGGAAGACGAGACCCTCGAGGTTGCCGTCGACGAGGCGTGTCGGGATCATAGCCATCATTGGTGTCATCGTAGCTTGACGATCCTGAATCCTGGGAAGGCCTGCAGGCCGCAACAACCGCAGATCTGGATCTGGTTTTGACGGGGAATACACGGCAGTATTCCAAACGACTTCGAGACGGTGGTTTAAACTCAGAAGTAGGGATGTCCTCCGTAGTAATCTCCTCTAGAACCTCATCGTATACCATCTCCCAGATCTGTAGGGTGCTTGATGCCCCTCCTGCCGTTCCTGTTTTTCCTGCTTTCTCATCATCATCATCATCCTCAACGTGTCTTTAAGGCAGCCTTTTAGTTAAGGAATCAAGCAGATTCTTCCAATACGTATCCATAAGCCTTCAGTGTTTGTCGGACGCGTTATGCGGAGTTCTCGGTCCTCGGATTTACTTATGTGCCGCCCCTGCCACAAGCCACGAGGTAAATCATGGATGTGAATTGTCTTGTATAGTCAGAAAAGACAGTGTTTATCCAGATGTAAGAGAGAGGATAGTTATACTTGTATGAACTAGTAAGTTTTTATAGAGATTTAGAACTAATTTGCTTGGCTATTGGTTAGTTGCTTCCACAAGTGGGTCTCGGAGACTTGTATCTATTCTACATCGCTACTTCATACCTAGTATATTGTCGAGCTCCACTTCTCCTCTGGAGTCTACGGGGATAGGGGGAGGGATCTTTTGATAAACTTATTATTCATAGTCATACAAATATAAAAAAAAATAGCCATTTGCCAACTCTGAATTGTTTTGTATGTGTCTTTCTGATTCTCTGAGTTAAAATCCCAATCCGACTCTTAGCATGCTGCTGCATCCCCCAAATGTGACGCACAACGCACAGCGAACACGAAACAACGCATTACCCAACAGCAGTGGTCTGGTCGTGCTTGCAAGCACCACGGATGAATAAAAAAAAGAAAATCTGGGCTCTGGTATATTCCAATGGAAATCCAACTTAAATAAAGAAAAGAAATGTCTAACAAACGCATGGACAAGAGACAAGGATTCCCCTATAAACGCCGGTGCCGTGGTATAGTGATGCAGTTCCAATCGACTGTAATCCTGAATCAAGACCCCAGCTCTAATAACCTGCACGCAATGCGGAAGGAAAATGGGGAGTAAAGGGGCGATAATGGAGCAAGGAAATTAAATGAAACTGAGATTGAGAATGAGATAGAATAGAAAAAGGGAGGTATCTAAGTAAGGAACGAGAGGAAGGATTGACAAAGGTTGGTAGAGAATGGAAAGGGGATCCAAAGTCAAGCCTAGCTTAACTCTGCGTAGGCCTGCCTTTAGTGCTAATGAGAGGCGAGAAAGACTGAATTCGTGATCAGACACACGACCATGACCAGGACACCGTAGATCACAAGACCCAGACTCAGCTTGCGCAATAGTGCTCGGCGCAATTGACGAGTGCCGCGGCGAAGGATACCACTCTCCGTCAGCGGACGGGTTTGCGAGGTCTCGATGTCCTCATCGTCATCGTTGCCGTCAGACATGATCGCATCGCCCACTTCGTCGTCTTCCTTCATCAGGCGTTGATGGTGCGGCGAGTCAGGAGAAGAGATCTTGTAATAGAAAAGACCTGGGAGGATGAAGCTGATGCTGGTGCTGCCGGTGCTGCCGACATAAGCGAGCACGGCTTCGAGCGACGACACGGTCATGGCAACGATGTAGCTCAACACGAGAATGGTGGTGGTGATGATGGAGAATCGGAGGTCACTCATTGGCTCGGGGGCACGGGTGCCTCTCGACCCCAAAAGTGGATGCCGGTGGGGCGAGCTGTCACTGGAGCCCGCGGGCTTGGGTCTCCAGCGCAGTACTGCATCGACAGACGCCCGACACGGGTGGCATTGGAGCGGATAGGAGAACATGACAAGCATGACGATGGCGGCACGGCCGATCGTAGCATACAGGCCTGGCGGGTACATGCCAACGATGTTTCCAGCAACGCTGTTTCCGAACGAAAGGTATCCGGTGATAGCCACAAGAATATAAGTTGCAGCGGCGCTACCGATGCTAGAGAAGACGACTCCGGTGGTCCGGAAGTGGCTGTTGTTGCTAATCTCGTTCAAGATCGAGAACATCTGTTGTACTGGTCAGCAATGCTCAAATGAAGGAGCACGGTTGGAGGCATCATACATTCTGATGGCATGTGAATGCAAAGACAATGACGGGAAGGCTGCTGAGCGTGGGAACAGGGCCTGCCCAGTGTATCACGCGAATAGGACCCCGATCAGTGGTTGTGTCTCCGATCACGAAGTGGTAGACAACCAAGACAACCAAGTATGCCATAGAGACGAGTGCTGCAATACTCGTATATTTGAGCGAGTCCAAGCGTCGGAGGTAGGAGAGGGGAATGACAATCAACCTGACAAAGTAGAGCACATTAGTATGGTCCCAATATTGGTTCCCGTGGGGAGACGTACATGAAGGCTGTTACCCAAAAATGACGGTCCACCAGAAAGTCGTAATCCGGCGAACCTCCCACGAAGCCCTGAACTACCCCCGGCATCAGATCCCCGATGATGATAAGATAGCTGACCCCGACACCAAAACACTTGATCGCGATCGCGGCATCGAAGATAACGGCCGCATTGGGGTATGTGAGCTGCGACAAGGCGAAGAACGACGCGGTTCCGCGTTCCAGGTATCGTGCACATTGGGACTGAAGATATAGACCGAATCCTGCTGCGATTCCCGACCATAAAATGACAAAGACACCGAGTACGATTCCCATGTGCGAGATCGCAAGTGGCATGGCTAGGACACCGGCGCCAATGACTACCGGAGTTTTATCCCGTCAGAAAAAGCCAATATAGAGCATCGATTGGCTGCAAATTGTTCCAACTCACTAGTGTTGACCAGGTTGATCACGCAACTAATCCAACTGGCGTCGCCATGGTGTCCGACGCTCCGTTTCCCTCTCCCGCCACGCCTGCAACAATAAACCGTCAGCGATAAGAAGCGCCGGAAGAAAAGCAGGTGCGGAGGGGAAAAGGGTTTTTACCTTCGAGACGTACTTCTGGGTGAAACCACCCCAATGGAAGCCTCATCGTCCATCATGTTGGCGGCACAAGTCGAGGTTGAATGAGAAAGTGATTGATTGATAAGAGGTGGCCACACGACAGGAGAATTCCGGGGTGGGTCAACCCGGCATACTATGAGATCGAAGGCCACTGGAATTTGCGACAGCAGGCAGGAGAGAGGGAGGAAAAGGGGGAGATGGGGAGAGATGGGGAGAGAAGGGGAGTGAAAGGTGGTACTCTTGGAATAAGACACGAGTTAGAGAGGAGGGGAGAGAGGAGGGGATGGGGGGGTGGAGAGAGAAGAGAGAACCGAGGAGAGTAACGAGTCAAGAGGAGCGGAGATAAGTTGGAGGGAGAGAGATTGGATTGTGGTCAGTCAGTTCGTATCTTTCCCAATTTAGATTCCTTAGTCAGACACCCTTCCCTTGCCGCTCTTCTCCGCCTTTTTTTCCCTTCCCCTCTTTATCTCGAATGGGTTAAAAAATGCGATGGGCATACAATAGATCCACTTGATGTGCTTTTCTTCATCACATAGTATTCGTTGGCAGCACAATCCCACCATGACTCCTTCCCTACAGAGAAAGAAACTACAACTTCGGCTTCCCCCAACCCTGCTGCGACAGCAAATCATAGACCTCATCCTCCAGTTTATTGGCGTCCGACACCGTATTTCCGGGCCGCTGGCCGGGGCCGGGATCATTAAAGGCACTAACCGAACGCACGGTCTTGGAGACCTCCAGAATCGTTCCCCCACTAACCATAAACTGAGGACCCTGGCCTGTCTGATCCCCAATGATCTCGCCAACATGATCTTGCTGGATCAACGCCAGCATGACCTGAGCCACTTCCTCGGGCGTCACCCACTCGTCGGCTTTGGCGTCGACTATCTTGATCTTTTCGGGGTGGTCCGTCCAGAGCGGTGTCTTGATCACCCCGGGAGCCACCGCCGTGACGCGGATCCCGCATTTCTGGTCGAGCTTGGCCAGGGACCGGACCAGGCCATTGATCGCATACTTGGTGGCTACGTAGATCGGGGTCGCGAGAGCAGGATTCTGCCCGGCAATGCTGGAGATGTGCACGATGTGTTTGCAGCGTTGGCTGCTGCTGCCCTTGCGGAGGAAGTGCGCGATGGCTAGTTGCGTCGTGCGGATGGGATGGGTCAAGTTGATATCTAGCAAGGCGTACCGGCCGCCATGTCGTGGATCTCGGCTCTCTGGCGTTCCCGGGGGTCGCCAGAAGTTGGTCCAATGCTGCTTGCGAGACAAGCCATAAGCTAAACATCCCTTGCTTCTTCGGGGGATTTTTGGGGGGGCACATACAGGCTCGTAGATCCCTGCGCCGGGGCAGACGATGTCTACTTCCCCGAACTCCTTCTCTGCTACTTCAAACATCTGCTCGAGCTGCTTCCAGTCGGTCACGTCGGTCTTCTGGAAGACAGCACGGGTGCCTTTGGAGGAGGCCGCGTACTGATTCACCAGCGACTGTGCCTCGGGGCGCAACCCCAGGTCGGCAATGAGAACGTTGCACCCATTTTCAAGTAGCAGTTTGGCAAACGAGAGGTTAATGCCTATATTAGATCGATTAGTGACATGCCTACATCCCCGTAGCAGTCGCCTTGAATCAGTGAAGGAGTGTTGACGCACCGGAGCCTGCTCCAGTGACGATGGCAGAGCGTCCTTTCACAGAGAACGACATGGTGTACGGAAGGTGAAAATAGAAGCGGCGTAACACTCAGAAAGGAGTGGGCGCTACTATCGCCGTGCCACATGGACTTATGCCTTCTTTATACCTCGTTCGGGCAGTATCAATCCGAAGGTTCGGGATGTTGTTACCCGCATTCGACATTGTGGACCGAGGGAAGGAGACTCGAGAAGCTGTCCTGGACCCGGACAAAGACCGATGAGGGGAAACCTACTGGGTCTGGTGGCCTTCAAGAGTGAGTATCGTGTATCGTATCGTGGTGCGTTGCGTTAAGGGGAAAAGCGTGGTTGGTATAGCCTTTGCGGGAATGGGTGATATGCCATGGTTGCGCAAGACCAGTCCCATGCGCAATGATAGCCGGGAAGAAAACAAAAGAGAGAGCGCATCTATCATGTGAAGCATAGGTTCCATAGCATGGAAGATAAGATGACTATGGTGACTGATGGGTAAAGGGCAAAAAGAATTGTAGAAGCCCCCGGCGAGGCTCGAACTCGCAACTTCCAGATTAGAAGTCTGGCACGCTACCATTGCGTCACGGGGGCTGTTGTTGTGAAATGGCGGCGTACCCTGCCGTTATGGCCTTGCGCTATGTTGGATCTTTATTCTAAAATATTTCCTGTATCATACCCTCTCTGATAGGGTAGTGATTTGATTTTCAATATCCGAAAAGTTAAAATACCGTATCTGGAAATATACACAGTAGGTCTTGACCTAACAGTTATCTAAGTAGACTGACTATATTATATGTAAATGAATTTGTCACCTCACAGGGTACAAAAAAAACATCGCTACCATCCTCCACACAGTAGACGAGCCAAAATAACAGCC